ACAAAATGAATAACAACTATTGATGGACTCTCGGGTTTGAATTGTTCAACCCGAGCTTCTTTGACATCCAAACTTTGCAGTTCCAAACTCCCACTAACTTGATCATTTGTAATGAATCGAGTATTGCTGGAATCAACTATTCTCATACTATGGTTAGATCTGTAAAACTTATATCCTTTAGAACATTTCGGATAGCTAATGAATAATCACTGACAGTCCTAGGAATAAGTTTCTTTTCATGTGGATTATATACTTTTATTTCTGCTTGACACCCCAAATATGAAGGTGCCTCAAACTAGGTTTCCTACCCGTCCACAGTTCATAAGGTGTCTTAGGAACTGCCTTACTAGGAACTCTGTTTATCCAATATGCAGTAATCTTTAATACATGCATCCACATAGAAAACATTAATGTTGAATTACTCAACCTACCTCTAACCATATTCTTTAAGTATGGTTTATCCTCTCAGCAACACCATTATGTTGAAGAGTCTCAATTATAGTGTATTGCACACAAATATTTCAAATCTCAAGAAACTTTGCAAATGGACTAGGATATTATTCTCTTTTATTGAACTTACATTAATATTCACCACTCTAGTGAGATCTCACAACTTTTACTTATTTATCTAACTACCTCTCCATCTCATCATTGTATATCTTTAGATAGTCCAATGATTGAGTCTTTTCATGTAGTAGATAAATATAACCATAACGTGAGAAAACATTTATAATGGTGATTAAATACTTTACATCACCCCACAAAGGGACGTTGAATAGACCACAAAAATTAGTGTGAATAAGTTATAAAATTTTAGTACTTCTCATGGCAGATCTCTTTAATGTATGCTAGTTTGCTTTCCTTTAATTCATTTTATACATACATCTTGATCACTAAAATCCAAATGAGAAACGGTTTCATTATTCACCATTCTCAAAACTTTTCTTCAGAGATGTGACCATAATCTTTAATGCCATAAGAGAGTATAGTATTGATTATGTACACTACGTTTAACCCAAAAATAAATATGAGATACATAAGTAGTTGCACGGAATCAAGCCACCAAATATTATTGGGAATCTTTAATAAATTTGATTCACAACATACAAAAGTTTAATGTATGTTTTCTTTTCGAATCAAGATTTTATTTCGGGCAATCTCTCATGAGGTGACCTAACTTTTTACAGAAATAATACCTCATTTCTTTAATGATTGGACCTTCAAAAACTTCAAGTAAGTCAATCTCCTTTTATTTACCTTTATTTCCCATTTTGTCTTACTATTATTGGCTCTCACATGAGATATAATAAATCGACTCTTCTTTCATCTCATTTATTCCCATCTCTTCCTGCACCAGTATAGCCTTAATTTGCTTACAATCCCGTTTATCTTTAATGGTGTTATAGTTCACCTAGGATTGACCAAACTCGACAGGTAAGGAGTTCATGATGAATAAAACCATAAATGAGTCTATCACATTCATTCTCATGTTTGAAAGTTTAGCTTATATGTGGAACACATGGATCACAAAATCATGGATGGAGCGGAATCAGATGAACTTTTATAGTGGAGAGTACATTAATGAAACTTTCCACAATAAACTTTTTTCCGCAATTTTAAATGGAGATAATCCTTGATTTTTTAAGGAATTCTTTTGCATTATTGGCTTTAATGTTATCCGCCTTGATTAACTTCATAAAATTCAAACACAACCTATATGATCGCTCACATACCCTACGTAGAGTTACCTCTACTTCGGAGCTCTCATCAGTAATGGTTGTGGTAACTTCATCAATAATTAGAGTCATATACAAAGTCATTGAACCTAACTGAAATTGGATATGCTTAGACCATTTATTGAAGTTCAGCCAATTGAATTTTTAAACTATAATACTGTACGGATAACCAAATTTTGAACGCTGCAAACTTCAATACATGCTATTAATTAAGCTTTGAGAGACAATTAATGGATTCAGATATCTTTTAAATTATATATTTAAATATACCTTTGGGCAAATACTTAAATATATAATATACTTGATTGATGTCTAAGAGGAAAGTTCTTTAATAGAAATTATATGTATTGTGATTAATTAGTGGTTATCTTTGGACAAACACACTAATTAACCTAACTTTAATATAATTTCTCTTTTATTGTCATATATTACAAACCATGGCCCACCTTTGGGTGTCCTCCTAGTTTATAATCTATAACATCAATTATTCAAATATTATAATATTAGGGTACATTAATAAGACATCGTGTTATATTTGAATAATTGATACTTTTATCTAATTTAATTATCTATTCCATAAATTAAACTAGGCCACTTTGGTGACTAACTAGTTTCTTACATAGATAATATAATTAGATAATATTTTATCTTAATTATATTTTATCTAATTTAATTATCTATTCCATAAATTAAACTAGGCCACTTTGGTGACTAACTAGTTTCTTTACATAGATAATATAATTAGAAATATATGATGTGTATATTATGAGAGTATTCGTATTTGATTAATCTCTATCATTAAACAAATTAACTGTAATATAGTTCATATCAAAACAAATAATATAGAACTAACAGCCTTTCAAGAACCGAAGCTATCAGTTGACAAACAAGTTTTCACAATCAGTTAGCACAAGTCATGCATCCTCCCTATATCACCATGAACTTGTGCAATTCCATTTAATGATTACTGTAAGTACTCTAACTAATAATGGAATACAATTCAAGTCACATCTTTTATATAACAATCATAAATTATTCAAAAAACTCATCCTTATATTTCAGTAATAATAAATGGACAAGATTCGAACATATCAATTAAATTCCAACCACTTCATGATGGAACTGTGGTCAATTAAAAATTGCAGCCCTTTAATCAATTTTAATCTATACTTCACAATATGATATAGTTGAACATTCATGTTTTCCATTCTCGTCCAAGCGTCAAAGACGAACAGAAAAACTCAATTAATTTTTAATACATATCTCAATAACTCACAAAACAATTCGTAGCGGGGCATAAATTCATATGGCCAGATCACCATAAACTTTAATTGACAATTTAATCATGCATAACACATGCTCTGATACCACATGTAAGAAATTTAATGGGCATACTCATAACTATCAGGCGGAATTGAATAAACCCTAATCATATAATTCTATCAGTTCATAGAATATGGATCTTTGCATTAATTAAATTGCACATAGAACTTACAAGAATCCAGCTTATAGTCCTTCCCTGTTTTCTTGATCTATGATGTTGATCTGCGATCTCTTCCTCGTAATCTCATGGATCTATCTTTGTCGTACTCTCCGATGATGGAGCGATCTCTTCCTCGTAATCTCATGGATCTATCTTTGTCGTACTCTCCGATGATGGATTTGCTTTTGCCTATGAATTGTTTCTCTCTCCCGCGTCTCTCGTCTTTTCATAAAGCCCTTGATGTTGAGAACTTTATTTTCGTATGAGATGGGAGAGAGGGGCATGTAGTATATATAGGAGGAGTCCTACAAACCTATTCCTACTAACATTCCCCATGTTCTAACCTAACTTAACGTCCAAGTCAAACATCACAAATTGGACTCTTTAATATTAGAACATTAATAATCCATTAAATACATATTCACCTTAATTAAGTTTGACTATTAATTCAATTAGGTCCAACTAATTATATGGTCCACAATAATAGAATAATATAAAATATTATTACATTCTCCCACTTGGACCATATAGTGTCGAAACCAAAAGAACTACTTTAAGCGCGCACATTTCATCAAACTTATGACTGAATACATATATCTATAAATTTAAAATCAAACTAGAAATTAACCGAGTCATGGCGGTCACAAGTCTTCGAGCGACATGATCCCTTCCATGTACCACAAATCATTTCTAATTCAACTTTGCTTTAATATGGAACAAGCTATTCGTACCATAACCATAAGCCATCCAACTTTTATGTATACACTATAAAATCAAATATCCATAATGATGGTATTATATGTGAAGAATCAACTTCTAAAGGTGGTTTTTATGTGTTAGCCTAAACTACCTCTTAAATTGACATTATTATTATTATTATTATTATTATTATTATTATTATTATTATTATATTATTATTGTTGTTGTTGTTGTTGTTGTTATATATTAGTAATATCACGTTTCAATAAATTTATAAATAGAATTGTAATATTAATTTGATGGTATAAATCTATATTTTTGTTCATTCAATCACGAGTTGGTCGTCTAATTAATGGGTTGCCCGCAGAAAAATATTTATAATTATTTAAGATGTATTTAATGCGTTTCTAATAAATGTGTTCATATTACACAGACAAGTTTGAGTAACTATAAAAGCATGGTCCTCTATTTTATGCCATGTGACACAATAAATCCTATGTGACATTGAAAATGTCTTAAAGTCTTTTTGACATAGGACTTCTGAACATACTTTATTATATAGTATTATATTATATTTATTAAATGTCTCACACATTTCCAATCAATTATAATTTTACACATGTGAAATTATAGTAGAATTGATATTTCTATGTTATACATCTTTAGATGAACAATATACCATTGAAGATGCTAAAAAATCCCACTCGTAATTACTCGGTCTTCTAATAAGAACTAAATTGTAAATATTTGGAAGGAAATGGCTACTGGGCTACTTTATGTTTAGCTCCTGGGCCAAAATATCATTTTCCTGGACTTGAATATAAAAAAACCATATTCTGTTCTTGTCGGGCTTAAAGTTATTAAACTCAAAGATTGATCCTTTGGGCCCAAGCGAAACTCGCATCGCCGTCCGCCGTCCGCCGTCCACGAAACTCGCCCCGCCGTCCGCCGCCCATTCCCCCACCAGGCCACCACCGCGCCAACTACAAGCCTCATCCACCTCCGGCCCGCCGTCTTGGCCGTGACCCCCTAAAAAGCCGTGAGCTTATGGCACATTGACGTGTACATGGAGCTTGGCCGTCATGTCCGACACCGAGCGCCTCCAATTGAGATTGCCTTCCGCCGCGCCGCCGACCTCTCCGCAGCTCCCCTCCGCAGTCCGCTGGGGTCCTAGGTAAATTTCAATTTTTGCGCGTCTGTTGTAAACTTGTACTTAGCTGTTGATGTGATTAGTTTAATCCACTGTTCTGGAATAGCTAATCAATTAATAATCATGACTTTCGATGTGATTCATGCAATCTAGCTGTAATGGATAATCTTAGTCCTGAATGGTGGTGAGGAAAGTTATCTAATTTATTAGTTTTCCAGGAGCAAAATATGATTTCTATTGGTTCAAAAGAGGAGGATGGGATGGGCATGTATTGCTCTTGGAGGAGACTCATTAGTATATTCATATGAATGTGAGGTATACTAAAGACTTTCACCTTTTGGCTGTATATGTATTATCAACCCAACTATCCAAGGTTTACTGGATGATGTTTTGATCTCCTTTAGGTATTGGCTTTCAGTGGATCCTCTGTCTAGGATGACACTTATATGGGAATGTGAGCCGAATGCATATTGCATTACTGAGCATCATCAAGGCCAAACTGTTGATCACTACTATCTTCTACGTTGTCCTGTTGCTTCCCCATGTAGATGTAGTCCAAGGAATTGGGAGGTTAGCACAATTCTGTAATTCATCGGGAATCAAGCTTCATTAGACTTAATGGATAGCTTATATCTCTCAGTCATTATGTCACTCCTTTTCTGCGATATTTTGCAGAATATTTTTGCCTTCGCCAGCATGTATCCCAAATATTGCCAGGAGAAAATTATGATTTCTATTCCTTAACTGTGTACTTGATAATAATATCACTTGTGGTATGTTGATTAAATTTTGCTTCTAAATTCAATACCTTCGACATTTGTTTTCTGGTGAAAAATGTTACTTTATAGCTGCATATTAAGTAGTCTTTTGTAATACTTGTTGTGGTTTGGAAAGACTTGTCATACCTTTGAATAGTGATATTCCGTGTTTTGCTTACCGTGGTGTGTATGAGTATAACCTATGTTTATGCATCAATTTCTACGATCATTGGGGAGCGCAATGTCTCCATGTGCAGAAGTTGGTCATCACTATCATTTTTATCTTATAATAATACTCGCAGATACAATTTTATTCTGATTTTTGTTTCCTCAAATGCCTGATGCAGTAGTAAACTATGTTTTACTCAACAGGAAGTGGACCTTTGTCCAACAAAAGAATTTGTTTTATGAAAGAACGTGAGTTTTATATAGATTAGAGTTCTTCTATGAGCAATACTCAGAAGTTGTCTGCACCTAGAAATTTCTCGAACGGTAATGCTAGAGACGATAGCTCGTGTAAGGACCTGCCTGAGTATTATGCTTGTAAAAAGCCTTCTTTAAAGTGCCATTATGAAATTTATTGATATATTTAATGTAAATTTATCCAGAAGCACAATTTTGTGAATTCCTGCCCATTTTGGTCCTTTGGAAGTATATATTTAGCATTAGAATAGCTAGATATATTCAATTTAAATACCACAAGCACAATTTTTTTTTAAATACTGTTTATTTTTCTTACATTTTCTAATTTATTAATTATTTTCGTTACCGACTTCAACTTTCTTAATTTTCCATAGGTGGAGGTGTTCGAGGTATGTTATGGCATAATGATGGAAGGAGAACAATGAAGCTCAATTATGTCAAGGGTTATATATCACGTGCAAAGTTTCTGACTGAAAAAGGAGTCGTGCAAGAAAGAAAACTAGCCGGCTGGGGATACAGTGCTGGATGATTGTTGGTTGCTTCAGCTATTAACTATTGTCCGGATTTATTTCGGGTTGCCATTCTTAAGGTGGGTCAAGTTCACAACAGCTCTTTGTTTTCCCCACTTGAGTTTTCATTTGTGAAAATTTAAAAAAATAAAAAATAAAAAATATTGGGAGTCTCTTTCATGAAAATTTGAACTAATTTATGAACTTTGAATTTTACTAACATTCCCTACCACAGCTGCACCTACTCCCCCTATTCTGGTCATTTTTTCCATTACAGCAGGAATTTGGGCATCTTAATTCTTGTTTATGTACAATTTTTAGATTCAACTCAACCAATACCTTTCTGCTACCGATTTTACCACTAACACCTGAAGTTTTCAGAACTAGTTCTCCATATGTTAATATCTGAAAAGATGCATAAGATTCTACCATTAAGGAAATATAATCTTTTAGTACAAGGGAGTATGATCTGATGTGCATTTTATTTGGACCCTAGAATTATATTAAGAACAAGTTCACTTATGATGTTGATGAAAACCTAGTACACAAACCTCCAAGTTCATGGACAGTACGAATTTTTATGTTTAAAGACATATATTCAGGAACTATTTTTGTGTTAATTATTTGAATCATGTACCCTGCATTTACAATTGCTATCTTTGATTTTATTTTTTCCCCAGGCTTAGGGTCTGGGAATCAGCAAAATGGGTCACACGAGTTGAGGAATATTCTATTTACAACCGTAATCACCTAGTGGTACTTAATTTAACAACTGATTTTGTTGAGGGAAAACAGATATTTGCAAAACAAGGAATCAGCACTCGAAAGAGTTTTTCCATTCAAGACAATGGATTCCTAATGACAATCAGAGGTAAACGAGCTACAATGCTTTGTCTCTCGTCAATTGATCCTGAAGGCGACCCCTATTTCACCATCTTTTTTTTTTTTTTAAACTTTTTCCTTCCCAATGGAGTTTGACCTAATAATCTGCTTTTGCATGCACACCATGCATTGATAGGACAGAAGTAGTGTCTTTTTGCACGCATGGTTTTATTTGGTTTGACGTAGCTTTTTCTCCTTGTGTCAGTCAAAGCTCGTTCTCTTTTTTGTAAGACCAAACTACGGTTAAAAGTTATCTCTTTAGTATTGTATAGCAGAAATGGCCATCGAAATGGCTATGTAATTGCAAAAAGGTCAAGTAATTATGTTGTCACTTTACAATCCATTATTCCACTAGTATTGGCCTCTTCCTCTTTAATTTATGATTGATGCAATTGGTATAGCAAGAACAGAACTTTATCCCAGTAAGTGTACACACAGTGGTTTTCTTTTTCATAAAATTGGCTGACTGGTGAATGATTTTGTCAAATGGAAAAGTTCCTTTTCCTTGTGTTTTTCTTTAAGCTTTGTTCCACCTTTTCTATATGATGAGCTTGAATTGCCATTTTAATGGTGATGGATAAGGTTTTCGGTTTTCCTGTGTACCCTATATGTTCTTTTTATTATTATTATTTTGTTTGTGCGATAGAGGAAAAGTTAAGGTTGGGTCATGATTTGCATGTCATGAAAAGAATTAAATAGTGGAGATTTATTTTACCCTTTGAATCTCTTCTTGAAGGCAGAATGTACAAAAGCCCAATAAAGAAAAGAGTTGGAATAATCATTCAACTATTGAAACAATTTTATTCCCATGGCAAACAATGTTAAATGGTGTGGCCCAGATATCATGATCACTAAATCAGATGAGACACTGGGACTCCTGATTTCTTATCGTCTATCTGTTTTAAATGTTTTCTTCTTTTTTACTATTTTTTTAAAAGAAAATGAAATAAGGAGTGGTGACTGACAATAATTATCTGGTATTGAAACAAGATTCTTTTAGCTTTATTACACGAGTGGTGGTAGACCTAATGGTCATATATTTTTTTAACAAATATGTATGCTTCATTACACAAGTGACATACTTTTAGAAAATGGTATAAAAAGAAGTATGGTATTTTTGTTTAAAAAGTATAGATGGTCCACCCACTAATGTATGATATTTAATCGATTTTTTTAATTATTTTTTTGTATGACATTCCAAGTGAAGTTAGATATCCAAATCATATGCCTCAGCTCCATTGACAAAATTGGTTTACCTAAATTCAAAACCAGCAACAACCAAAAAAGGTGCAAAATTTAAGCAACACTTTCACAAAATAACAAAACAGCCGGTACCTGTAACATCAGCATAGCCATCAGCATAGCAACATTTAATTGACACCAAATAATGCATTTTTTATTTAATTGACACCAAATGTAATGCGTTTATTTATTAACGATAAAGATCATGAACAGATATTTCTTTTTCACAACCACATCTGGAGATTTTATGTCCAGCACCATCAACTCAAAACTAAACAGAACTGAACAAAATGAAATGTACAATAAATTGCAGCATGAAAACAAGCAAATAAGGATGGAACCTTTATACATCACAAGGCACCCTGACCAACACAACTCAGGCATTCTAAAAAGACAAGAGACCCAAATCAATCACAAAATCAAGAATCAACAAATTTACCCTTTTTTAACAGCAAAAGATGTCAAAAGGCCAAAAACTTACCCTTCATTCTTCAACTTCCTCGGCCACAGGTGGAAGAACACCCTCTTTCACAAAAGACGAGTCGAGAAACTTAGCCACGAAAGCCCACAGCTTGTACACATCATCGAAATTCGTCAAGAAGCTAAGAGAGGCCGTTACAACTTCGACCCTCACAAATCCGCTCTTACCCTCGTGCCTCCCACCATTCTCCATTGGCATGCAAAGTGTAGTATCATCAAGACTCGAACTCCCTCGATGATGATGATGATGATGCTTAGGGCTACCCAAAATCCGTATGTGGCTCAAAATCCCCACGCCAAGAGAAATCCCATTCGACTCGGCCAGCTTCTGCACAACCTCCGGGCTAATCAAACCCCGGTTATTCCTATCCCTCACGTTGAAAGCCACAGCAGCCCCACGTTCGTATTTGATTTTCGGGCCATAGATGTGGACAAGTGGCGTCCCATTCGAGCCCGGCAATCTCAACTGCAGCAAAGAAGTGACGAGCCAGTTGATCAAGAAACGGAGTCGAGAGGTGGTCTTGTTAAGGCCGAGCATGTTTATGTGGTCCAGGTGGCAGCACGATATCTCGGGCTCACCCCTTTCCGAGTCTTGACCGTTGCTGATGTAATCATCCTCATCACCGGACAATAATTCGGTTGGATCGAGGGTTTGGAAGAGACTTTGATGGGCTTTATGATTTTCTTCTGTGCTGAACGACACCCTTCGCCTGTTGCTCCCGTGTTGTTGTTCGTGCTCGTCTATTCCGAAAAATCTCCCTCCGGCAATCCTACTTCTTTCTCGCCTCTCGAGTAGCCTGAACTCGCCCTCCGTCTCTCGTCTAATCGCACTTTCTTTCTCGAGGCATATTTCCGAGGTGGGCTTGCAGATTTCGGGCTCTTCTTCGATTTCGTGAAAATAACGATTATCCTCCTCCTCTTGGTATTGTTCTTCCTCGGGAATGCCGTTGAAATGGTCCGGTTCGTGAGACACGGATCGAACAGCGGCATCGAACGACAGCGTGTCGTACATTGGACTGCTCGATAATTTCGAAACTTTTGGGGAGTTCAACTTATTATTATTATTATAATTCTTGCGGCCAGTAGTAAACCAAGCGGGTGGTAGTGGAGAGGAGAAGCCCTTGTTGTGTTTGTTAGAATGGGGGCCCGTTTCGTCGGACCCCATCGGGCTCTGGCCCAAATCAATCCACAGCGAGTTGTCAGACGATTCATCCTCACTGAAAACCGGGCTTTTAATCAGCTCGCCCACGGATATACTCTCGGTTTCTTCAAAAATGGTGCTTGCACCATCTCTATCCGAGCTGTTGTCGTGCTCCATCTCGGTTTCGAACACATCCCTCACTTGAGCAGAAGTATACGCGCCAGAAAAGGCCGGCATTTGCGAACGCTGACGAGTTTCGGAATTTAACTCCCCGTTTCCACTATTAGCTTCTTCCGTCTCGTCAAACCCGGGGATATTATCCATGGAATCACTCAAATACATTGGAAAAACTGGCGTGATTTTCACTATACCCGAGCCCGCATGACCAGATTGATTTTGCAGGCTCGACATTACAGATTTCTTGATCAGAAGGCAACCGAATCCAGTCGGGTCGTACCCGAAAACCCTGTAAAAAGACGTGATGATAAAATCGGGCCGGAATAAAGAGAGCCCAAGTGAGTCCATATCCTTTGGGCCCAATGCCCCAGCATCGAGCAAGACGTGCCAATTGTTCTGTTGAGCCAAAGCCATCCATTGGTATGAGTATTTTGCACCAGTCACCCTCGACTGGACGGGAAATACAAAAAGACCCGTGGCCGAGTCTTTTTTTCTCCGTTTCTTGTTTGAAATTTGCTTCCTGAGATCAGTTGAACAGAGTTTCAAGGTCGGCCATTTGTACCACGCGCTATGAACTTTCGCCCCTTTCTCCCGAGCACTCTGAGCCATCCAATTCAACGATTGGCTCTCGTGATCGAACATCGTCAGCAGCCTCTTGTTCGTGTGAAAAGGGTACGACTCGGCCAGAAGCTTAAAAGCCGAGCCGCGGCTCACGGTGAAAACAAGCCCGTACTCATTTTCAGGGATGTTTAAATAATCCATTATCCGGGCTTTTATATCATGCTCCACAGTTCCTTTCTCAGCTCCCCCATACAGAGCATGATTACTCAAATTGGCAGTTATCTCAGATAAACTAAACGTGGATGATTCCCAATAATGCACGGTTTGGAGCAACGAAAAAAGCCCAAAACCACAGTAATCGAGGCATACCTTTGAATCGGAGGCCGATAAGTGCGAGTACTCGTCCAATCTCAAATGATCGATTTTCTCAGACGACTGATATTTCGGGTACATTGTGAGAAACTTGGTGAAGGCCTCGTTCAGTCGAGGGATCGAGTCGTGGGACTCGAATATTCTCTCGGCGGCTAAAGCAGTAGCCTTGAGAAATTCCTTCTGGGCATTAAGACGGGCTAGAGAACGGGATCGACCCAAGCCATCATCTTGATTAGCCAGTAAATCAGAGTCGACATCTTGGGACTTGACGAGGGACCCATCTTCGGAAGCTTCCTCAAGTGCTTCCCTCAGTTTGTGCTCTTGCAATTTTCTGAGAATTGAAGGGTTGTTGGCCTTGATTTCGTCTGACGAGTGTTCAGACCCGTCTTTTCGCCTGCTCTTCTTGTCCAGCAGTAGAGCAGCACAGTGAGACAGTGGTTTCCATAGAGAAATATGCATTAAAGCTTCCTTTTTTTTTCTGTTTTGATTCCTCTCACAGGTGGTCTACACAATTGATCTGANAAAATGGCCACAATCAAGAAGATGAATAATAGGAGAAAAACAGGAATGGAAGAGCTTTGTTTTTTTTCCCTTTTCTTTCTCTGGGTTTAGCCCATTAATGAATTGACACCAGATAAAAAGGAGGGCTCGGTTCAAACTCTATAACTCAGTAAAGCTAAAAAGGAATCAAAGGTGTAAAAAGAAAAGCTCCGTCAAGAATAAACTTTGCTTTGAAAATCCAAAGAACCTGTTCTGAGGAGGGAAAGTGAGAGGGGACGTTTGCCTTATCCGAACATTCAAACGCTATCAACAGATTTCTTGTGTTGAGAAGAACTGTGACTAAAAAGACAAAAATAAATAAATAACCAAAAAATTGCATCAGAACATAGAAGCCCTAGATTCCAGGGGGGTCGGCGATGTACAGGAAAAACCATACAAGAAAAAAATCAAGGCCCAAATTTACAAAGATTCAAACTTTTAAAGTAAAGTGTTTGCAAAATCTCCAGTAAGAAAAATAGAAAGTTCAAATGCAGAAAACCCAGATCCCCAGTAGAGAGGTAAAGTCAGAAACAAGCAGAGAAAGAATTTTGCCAAGAAAATCAAGAACACCTCTAACAATTGAAACAATAAATTATAACTAAGTAATAAAGAAAAAGGTTGCAAATTTCCTCACAGAATCACAGTTTTGTAAATCAAATCAAGAGCCCTCCTTTACCTGTATATTATGAAATCACCTGCAAAAGCTCTGAGCTTTACCTTTTTTTTTTTCTCCCCAAATCTCTCTCTATCTCTCTCTGCGCCTTTCTGCAAGCGAATTTAAAACAAACCCTCCACAGCAAATGCACATTTATTTCCGTGGTGAATCAAGAAACATACCCCTTTTCACTATACCGTCACCCCCCACTGTGCTTTCTCTCTCTATGCTCCAGTATGCAAATCTGTGTTTCTCTCTCTACACTCTCCCTTTGACATTGACCCTGCTATTGAAGGGTTAAAAGTGGGGTTATTTGTTGAATTGCCCACGGTGCAAAACCCAAAACAGTGAGGAAAATAACGTTTGACTTTCACTACCACCTACAAACAATGAGTTGATACTTGTTCAGTTATTATTTATCGAAAAATCTTGGATTAAGAGTTATTGATACTTCTGTTTAAAGTTTAAACAAATTTATTGCTGGGTTGGGGCCCCTACCATTTTACAGCTCCTTCAAGACCTTTTCTTCTAGCAGTCCATGGCTGGAAGTCAAATAATCAGCTGACTTGTAAAAAGCTATTTCCTGTCTAGCTGCCTTGTGAAGTCCAATGGCTGTGTCCATTAATTTTATTTTATTTTTATTAAATTTTGTGATTTTTAAAAAAATGTAATTTAATTTTTTTGTGAGTATTAGGGAAATCCAGTTGTGTATAAAGAAATATGATGATTTATATAAAAGTGAAAGAGTTAATTAGATTGACACATGTTGAGTTGCTTTTAGATTTTGATATTTAAATTGTGTTGATAGATATAATAATATTAATGTGATTTTTCTTTTAATTTGCTGCCTCTATATTAGTATATTTAAAAATAACAATAAAAATGAAGAAGAATTGCCACTTGATAAGAACCTCATTGTATGGTGCCTAATAATTATTTGGTCAGTCTGACTGATTATTAGGTGTGTTTGGTTAGTACTAGCATGTGAACTATAGTAGTTTAGGCTTTAGCAAAGGAGCATCACTTTATGTACCCATCTTAATCCAGTTTTTCTTCAAGGTAAATCTAGTTTTGATTTAGTCACGGTGACTGTGATTCGAGTATCCTAACCTGACCTTGATTATTGAAGTGTTATAATTGGCAGAATAAATTTTTTAATATTTTTTCAAAATCAGTTCAACTTTACTCCTACTTAGGTGATTGTTTATCAATTCATCTAAAAATTAATTGATTTTTTTTTAACTATAGTTACTTTTGCAAAAAGTTAGTATAATTAGTTGTTAGTAGATATATTAAAATAATATTTAAAATAAAATAATTAAAGTTGATATGATGTAAAAGTAAGAAAAAAATGATTGAAAGTGGTGATTAGTTAAAATTATGTGAGTGGTGAATAATGAATTAAAGTTGATGTGATGTGTAATAATAATTAGTTGATATTATTTAATTATATTAATAATATTGGAGATAGTAGAGTTAGGTTAAAGTTGAATTAAATTTGAGTTTGATTGGGTTTTTTTGGAGTAAATTGATAAACAATCACCCCAAAATATAATTAAATAATATCAATCAATTATTATCATGCATCACTTCAATTTTAATTTACTATTCATTTATTCATATATTTTTAATTATCAATATTTTAAATAATTTTTTTCATACTTTAAATCAACACAATTTTAATCATTACATTTCAAAATCTTAACTCAAAAATTTAGGAGTATAATTTAAATACAAAGCCAATAATACCAACCCAGTATAATTTAAGTGAAATTTAGGAGTATAATGTAAATACAAACCCAAAATTTCACTTAAATTTCAACTCAATCAATTGATTAAAAAAAACCCATTTTATCCAATAAATCAAATCACAATTATCTTTGAGTAGTTGTCTTAAATTCAGCTACGCTTAGCTATTGCATTAAGGTGCTTTAAGTGTTTTCGAATTTGTAATTCCTATATTTATTTATTAATATAGTTTTGTAGTTTTTTTTTAAAAAAAAAAAAAACAGTTTTGTTGCTAATGTGGGTGTATTGAACTCGAGCTCAACATAAAGCGTGGTCTTAAAAAATTCAATCCACAAAATGTAATTTTACTATATTATAGTGGCTTAATGAAATGGTATACGCATAATAATAGTGTGCAATTCAATCCAACCATAAAATGTAATTTTACTACATTAAACAAATAAATATCGATTGCTAATTCGTTTGGGTGGAGTAATAATAAATGAATTATTTATTTATATAAAAATAAAAAAATTAAGTGGACAAAAATAAAAAAAAAAAAAAAAGTGGAAAAAAATCAAAAGCACGTATTTTAAGAATACGTTTTTCAATAATAAACGTATTTAAAGAATACGTTTTAAGAGAAAAACGTATTCTGTAAATACGTTTTACTGAAAAATAATTAATTAACGTAATTAACATAATTAAATTAATTAAAAAAAGGATAAAACGTATTACCGAAATACGTTTTATGTTAAATAAAACAAAAAAACGTATTCTTGGAATACGTTTTATAAATAAAATTAATATTTTCAATTTTAAAAAGCAAATTTTTTAGAAAATAATATTTGAAAAAATAAAACGTATTTTCAAAATACGTTTTTAAGCCTAATTTTTGCCCCAAATTGATTTTGCCCTAATTTTAGCCCCAAATCGATTTTGCCCTAATTTAACACAGTAAAACGTATTCTCGAAATACAATTTTTGTTATAAAAAAAAACGTATTTTCAGAATACGTTTTACTGTGCAGAAACAGTAATACACAGAAATAAAATTACAAAAAAATACCTGTTAATCGAGATCGATTCCACAACCAAATATTAATTCCACAAAACCCATATCAACCCATGTCAAAGAAAGAACAATGAAGCACAATAATTCATTGTCCAAATATAAAAATCCAAACAAGTCCAAATATCATTACACATAATCCACCACGAAAGAAAAAAATAAATATATATGTCTACAAAATTCCCGGCATACAGCACAACTAACTAGGAGTGTATCGATTCGTAGGGTTGCGCGGTCGGGAACTAATCCAACGCCGTGGTGGTCGTGAAGAAGACGATGCTGTAGGCGTGGTAGGTTCTTCTTCTTCTTCTTCAGCTGAGTAAAACTATCTTTTAAATATTAAATATTCAAGGCAGAAAAAGCTATCTTTCTGCTATTATATTATTATTAATTAATTTTCAATTTTCTAATATGTAAATAATTCATAATTTAAGGTGATTATGATTATACCCTAAAAAATATATATTAAGGTGTATTACAAATAGTCTTATATATTAATAGCTAATAACAAACATCTAATTTTACCAAACATATTTTTATAAATCGCTAATATAATCAGTTGGTCAAAACAGCTAATACAATCCGCTAACAGCTGATTGCCAAACAAGGTCATATATATATATATATATATATAACTAGTGCATATCCCGTGCGATGCACGTGGTATATAAATTTAGAGAATATTATAATTTGACCTGCATTAGGATATACGGGAGTTTAATACATTCGAACATTATTCAATCATATAATGTTCGTCACGAAAAAATTTTATATTATTAAAAAATTTTGTGAACACAAAATTATGAGTTTGATTATTGGGTAACTTGTGAGGGGCACGGGCTGGACACGGGCTGCACAAAGGGCTGCGAAAACTGGGCGTCACACAACTGGGCTCCCTTGTTGGGCTTCTCTCATAGGCTGTGGATGCTGATTCCTGTCGTCAAAAAAATTGCCCCACACTTGGACAACTTTTCTTATTTCTATCTATATTATAAATTATAATTTATTCCAAGTTTAAAACTTTTTCAATCCTATTTTATGTAGATAGTTATTTTATATTCCCAGCTACACTAATAAGCATGTTGTTAGTTTGAATCATGTAACTTCCTTAATAGTGAGTTGAATAATTTATAGATAGAAACAGAATTTAATGATTCCCTCTAATTTCATATTTAACATCCCCTCTTATTTCATATTCCATATTTCACAATTTCTCCAAATAAAACAAAAAAATTACATACAACAATTATAAGGTTGACCATCAAATAAATCAAAATAAGACTGTAAATAAACGTAAATTTTTCCTTAATAATTTCTATATCTTTTTTAAATAAAAATTGTAATGTTTCGACATAAATTTGGTTTCTTTGTTTTTCATTAATTGTTTATGAATAGGTATCTATCTTAATTTTAGTTCAAAGTTGGTTTATTTTTATTTATATCATCATACTTCATTGCACACATTTTTTATGGTAATATCATATAACATCAGAAATATTATCTTTGATACGGATCAGCTTTAAAGACTCTCGAGAATAATCAACTCTGTTTTGCTTTGAACATTTTTAAAAAAATATTCAGCACTTGAGTTTTTTTTTTTTTTTGGAAATGAATAATGTACAAATTACGTATACGTTTTAATAAAAATTGAATCTATTAACATTTTCATTACATTTGAATGTAATTTGTTTATATTAGTTTATATTAAAAAATATAATTATATATTTTGACTTAAAATACTTCAAAAATTTTAAAAAATTCAAGTCTCAGTATTCATGTACGAATTAATATTGTACCACAAAGTAGTTGTTGTCTTGTAGTTATATTATTTGTACATTAATAAACTGATCTTAAGGGATAACCAAAAAAAAAAAGAGTTTTACAAAAGTGAAACAATTCCATATTTTGAAGTAGTAAATCCCTTCATATAAGAGATGATTTGTTTCCCAAAAATTAAGTCCCGAATTGTTTGCCCTGTAATGCAACAAATTTATTTGAACTGCAATTAATTTATCCTTTAAGTGAAATATATATAAAAAAAAAAGAAATTGCCATAAATGGAAACTATTTAATTATGTCTGAATTTGACCAAAGAGTTGACTTGCTATTTTTGATAAATGATAAATCTTATTATATATATATAGATAAGAATTACCATTTACCAAAAATAATAGCAAAAAAATAGGTTGCATTAAATGCTACCTTAAATTTCGAGCTTTAGTTCATTTTATTATTTAAAAAATCCGACTAAGATTTATTAAGGGTGTATGTTTTTATTTTTATTTTTTTCTTAGAAACAACGAACAATTAAAATCTCAGTCTCTATATTTATAAAATCTCAATTCAAAATATAACAAAAGTTTTATAATCTCAGTTTTTATATTTGTGCCTTTAAAAAATATATTGTACGCTAAAAATATTCTTTAAATTGCATAATCAATCAATTAATCTCATTTTTTTGAATATTACTATGTCTATTTTTTATTAATATGTATAAAGTAAAAATAATTATATTATCTTTAGATATATAATTTATAATCTTAATATACTATCATTTGTTGTAGACATTTATTATAAGAATCATAAAATATTTTTATTTCATAAAATTAAATATATTTAAAGAAAATAAAATTTCTTCGGATCAATCGGGTGATTGAATTAGGGTACTGTCAGGTTGATTGAATTACATTTATGTGATATTTAAAATAGTCAAAAAACCTGACACAACTTGATTGGTCCCAGGTGACTAAGTTATGTATCAGTTCGACCACACCAAATCGATTATTGAACCTAAATATAAATTTTATATTGAAAATATTTTATTACGTGAATGTGATGTAGTTAAAACTTCAAATAATCGTATTAACAATACTTATATGACAACATGTTTAATGATTTATGAATATTTATATATTATTTTATTAATATTTATGTGAATTAAATAATATTTTATTAATGTACAGTAAATTCATCGAAACAATCAAGCTACTTTATTAAATCATTTGTGGTTTGTTCAGATTTTAATTTATAAATATTTTAATAGATATATATATAGTACTTTTTGTAATAAATTTAAATAAAATGTGTTACTTAGATATCTAAACAATTTATAAATTCAAATGTTTAAACTAATTGATAAATAATTTATAAATCTTTATTTTATTTAAATATGTAATTTTATTTAAAATAATTTTAAATATAACAAAATTTATTTAGAAAATCGTATCGACCTACCAGTCCAACCGACTGGTGTTGACGGATTCGAGAGCGAATATTTTATTCAAGCGAACTAGACTGTTTATAAACCGGTTCTCGGTCCATCCAGTCGGACTATGTCCAACCCTATTTAATTTAAAAACAATGGATAAATCATGATTAATGTTATTTATATATTTAATTTATAATACAAGTGTAATATTGTTTTCCCGTGCATCGCACGGGCCACGCAATAGTATATATATATATATATATATGTATACATTCACACACCACATTTTGGTAGTCAAAATAGTTAACTTGTAATATGGTGAAGTTCATTGTCAATGGCCAACATTTACGTATAAGTACATTCCAAGTAATAAACATATATATCAAAGTCAAAATGCATCTGCATTTTTCCTTATCTTCGTTCACTTGCAATTTGATGTTAAATTACATCGTGTATCGAACTGGCATCTTATTGTATAGCTATCCTTTTATTTGACATTTGATCTGAAGCTATGCTATTCATGCTAATTAGTAAAAAAATAAATAAATAAATAAAAACAAAAACAAAAACAAAAACAAAAACAAAAACAAAAACAAAAACAAAAAAAAAATCAAAAACAAAAAAAAGACAAAAACAAAACAAAACAGAAAAATAATAAAAAATTTCAAAAATCTGATAATAATTTGTAGGAAGTCAAAATTAACCAAAACAAAACAATTATTCAGTTCAGGGTAGATACAGACTCAAATTTATAGTATTTTAGTAATTAATATCGCAAGTACACACGAAGATGACAACAAAAAATTAATCAAATAATGGTATTAAATATTAAACCAAACTTGAGTGCCCGATTGCTCCACCTGTGCAGTTGTGTAACTTGATTTATTTATTTTATTTTGGTCAACCTTTAGCAATCTTCAAGGTATTTTAGAGCATGTTTGTTTATGAAATTTTTAAAATTTTTTTTTAATATTTTAACTCAATCACTTTTTTTAACTCAACTTCAACTCAACCCCGTTATCATCAAAATTATCAATATAATTAAATAATATCAATCAATCATTCATACACACCACATCAACCTTAATCCACTATTCATCCACTTACATTATTTTAACTAACCATCACTTTAAATCTCTTTCTCCTACTTTTACATCAAATTAATTTTAATTATTTTATTTTAAATATTATTTGAATATACCTACTAACAACTAATCATACCATCTTTTCCAAAATTAACCAAACCAAATCAAAAAATCAAAACAAAACCAATAATTTTTATAAACAAACACAATTTAGGGTTTCGAGAAAGGAAATTTGAGACTTCAGAGTAGGGCATAGGGCTGCGGAGGTAAATTTATGATTAGAGTCTAAGACCCATTTGCTTTGTCATTCTTTTCGATTCTATTGGGTCACGAATAGACGTTGTGTTGTAATATAGCCCGTTTAAAATGAAAAGTAAGTTGTTGGGCTTTATGTGAAGAACTGGAGCTGCCAAACGAATCAAACTGCTCGAGAATACCACACGATTTGCATGTGAAAGTTCGAGTTTGGCTCGTTTAAGTCAACAAATGGGCTACGTTGGAACAGCTAATCGAGCTCCTTTATTAAGCGAGTCGAGCCGAGTTTCTTCACGAATAACTCATTTTTCTATCATTATTTTTTATTTTTATTTTTTAATTTTAAATGAAACAGTTGAGTCAAACTTATTCAGAAATGTACGTACATTATATGTCTACAAACAGCTCGTTTAAACATTTAGGTTTATTTAATTGAGCCAAACATTCTACTCATTTATTAAACGAGCATGAGTTCGAACATGAGATACTCGGTTTGGCGAACAACACCCCTATGAAGAACTCTGCATTTTTAATAGGACCAAGATTCGCAAAAATGGCCATTATCAAGTGATTATTTAAGTTACTTATTTCGTTTGAAAATAAGAAATTGTTAAAAGATATTCGGATATTGACACAAGATTAATAATGAAAGTTCAAATTTTTGATTTCATA